AGACAAAATAATGTCTTTTCAGAAAATTCATGCCACATGACAAATATTTATTAAGAAACATGGACCATGGATATAAAGCAAATAAGAAATGTCCTGTTCCCAATACCATTCTTGGTCTGAGCACAAACTACTATCTAAATGCTTTACAGTAACTAAAAATAATATTTACCAAGTTCTTTCCTAATCAAAACCATAGGTTCCCTAAAATAAAATCTTTAATGAGCAAAAGAAAATCATCCCACGATTTTCAAACTTTACACATATTTTAAGTTAATAAAGACTAATATATGAGTATAATTTTGGTTAAAGTATTTAACATAGTGCAAGGCACATAATAGTCAATAAATGCATGTTGACTGAATCTGAATCAATTGTATGCAGAGGTAAACAAAGTATTTTTCCAAGTCTTATGTCTTTATATATACACATGAAAAGAATATTTCAATACCATAGACTCATCTGAGGATAGTAAAACCATTTTGTGAAACAGAATTAATATCATAGTTATATCTTTATCATATACTTTTTATTAATATTACTTCACTGATATATCCTACAGATTACACAAAATAACTTTACAAAAGACATTTCATTTGAAATTTGTTGAACCATGAAGTCACCATGCAAGACTTTCAATCTCTTTCTAATAATAAAGACAACGTTTTTCGATGTTACTTGTTCCTTCAATTTACTTAAAGTAAAAGATTAGTGGTGGTTTAGAAATAAAACAAAACCAAATCTTTTTGTTCATCCCTGGTTTAGAAACATGACCAGATTACTTCATATCTCAGTAAAGCTTGGTCTAAAGATCCCTTTGGAGCTCCTATAAAAAACCAGCATTTTTGGGGGGTGCCAGCCGAGTGGCGCATTGGTTAGGAGTTGGTTTGGGACACCAGCTCTGAGCAGCTGGGCCCCCATTCGGATCCCACATATGAGGGCCAATGACGCTGTGTCCTCTACAGCTAAGATGGTGAACAACAGCTCAGCCTGGAGCTGGGCTGCCTGAGTCGCCGAAGACGGCGTAGGCTGCAGTGGGGCTGACCCACAGCAGGCGTGAGCTTTCATGAGCTGCTGTGAGCCGCCATAAGCTGCTGTCCAATGGTCGGCGAGTGACTGCTTCACCAGGGAAGGGTGCAATGATAACACCAACATGGGCCAATGAAGCAACGTCCTCCACAACTAGGCTGAAGAACAAAAGGACAGCAACTTGTCTGTTCCCCTTCCCCGATTCCCCAATGCTGTTCCCCTCCCCCAATTCCCCAAAATCTTAAAAAAAAAAAAAAAAGAACCAGCATTTTTTATGGCAAGATACTTAGGGATGAATGAAACAATATCATGAATCCAGGTCAGAACACTCTGAATCCAGAAAAAAGTAAGTTAACCTATTTTCTCCAGGAAGTCAAATAAAACCTGAATACAAGAATCTATGAAAATGGTATGGGAGAGCTTATTTTTAAGATTAAATTTTTGGCTATTGAGTTTCTTTAATGTAAGACATACAACTAACTTATAATTGTACTGATGGTACTTCCCATTTATAGAAATGCATTCTAGAGATCCTTGAGAACAAGCGTTTGTGAATGATAAACCACAGCAATTTTTAAAAGATATTTTTCTCCTTTTAGCATCTCACTCACTTCTTAGCCCTATCATTCACCTTTTAATATTGTCAGTACGTGCAGGTATTTTTATTAAAATCCCCATATATCACAAGAAAACAAAGTAAGCATGATTGTATTATATATGAGGAGACCATGGGATGGTACAGAATATCACAAACTTGCAAAAGCACTAAATCTATAATCCAGAGTTTTCTTTATTTGAAATAGTTCAAGTTTCCTAAAAAAAAGGATATATTCATATGAAAAATTTGACAGTGTTAAAATAATTTATTATTTTAACTTGGTGAAGGCATTACTATGTATTATATCAAAATATGCCATATAAAAAATTAAGCATTATAAAATTATATATTTAACTCACTATTTAAATCCCATTTGAAATCAAAAAGCAGATTCTATTTCCTAAATATTTATTTTTCTTCACTGTACCCTCTAAGACTTATGAATGTAGGATTATAAGTGATATATCTGATATATACTTGGATTTTCAAAGTAACTCATCTGCTGCAACAGAGTCCAAATTAAACCAGTTTTGTGTGTGTGTATACATATATATATATATATATATTTAAATAGTTGATTAAAATATATAAGTTTGGATTGATAATCAAAGACAGTTTTTTCAGGGGAACTTCAGTCTACTAAGAAATCACTATTTTAAATTTCAAGCAACTTGTACAAGTTGAGGATAGGGAAAAACTAAATAGAAGAACGAAAATTTACTTCCTTAAATTGGAAAGAATTGTATATAGAGAGAATGATAAAGCACTGTATATAGAGAGAATGATAAATGCAGTGAAAAGTAAATAATTTGTGACTCTGTGGAAGGGTAAGTAAAGTTCTCTGTACTACTGTTGCAGCTTTTCAGTAAGCTTAAAATTATTTCTAAATTTAAAAAAATTAAAGAAGCAAATGGAAGTTCTGGAACCAAAATATGTAAAAACTAAAATTAAGAACTGAATATGATTAATAGGAGATTACATACCAATGAGTGAATTAATTAACTAACATAGATCAAAAGAAAATATCCAGCATAAAGTAAATAGAGAAAAAAAGATAGAAAGAGAATGTAAGAAACACAGGTGATATGCATGTGGTCTATCAAATGTATAACTGGGGTCCTAGGAAAAGAGAGGAAGAAAATGAAAAAAAATTAAAATTTGAAGAGATAATGGATAATAGCTTTCCAAAACTGATCAAAGATATCAATCTACAGATTCAAAAAACCCTACAAACATAAATAAATAGAAGATAAACAATGACAGATAAAAATAAAACTACACCTGGGTACACCAATGTAAATCTAGAATACTGAAAACAAAGAGGAAAAAGACAGATTGCCTTTAAAAAGGCAACAATTAGGCTGACGGTTGACTTCCCACCAAAAATAATTCAAGAAGCTAGAAAACAACAATATTTGAAAGTGCTGAAAGAAAATAACTGCCAACCTAGAATTCTACTCCCAGCAAAAATATTCGGCCAAAAAAAGGCAAAATAAAGACATTTTTAGATAAACAGAAGCAAAGTAAATTTGTCATAAGAAGATCCCAACTAAAGGAAATTATAAAAGGCATTCTTCAGACAAAAAGAAAAGTTATCCCATCTAGAAAATAAGGGATATAGGAAGGAATGAAAATCAATGAAAAGGTCAAATATGTGGGTAAATCTAAACAACAGTGACTACATAAAAAAACAATAATAATGTCTTGTGAAGATTAAAATACATATAGATGAAAAGAATCTGAGATTCTTCCATTGTCCAAGAAGAGGGTAAAATTACCAAGTGATATTAAACTTTGATTGATGTTTTAATCTTTAAGGTAACCACTGAAAGAATTATAACAGTATATAACTTCCAAGTCAATAGGGGGAGATATGGAATAATGAAAAATGTTTTGATCAACCTAAAATAAAGCATGAAAGGAGACAGAAAAAATGCGTACAACAAGCAGGACAAGTAGGAAGCACACAGTAACATGTTACATATACACCCAAATAAATCACTGGTTGAATTAATGTGATGAACCAATGTCTCCCTTAAGAGAAAATACTTGTGTGAATGAATAAAAAAAAATCAATTATATGTTATCAACATATAGAAACGTTTAAAGTAAAAGAATGGAACAAATCATACCTTGCAAACACTAGTCAAAAGAAAGCTGGGATAGCTATCCTAATAGTAGACAAAATCAATTTTCAAACAAAAGGCATTATTAGAAATAAAGAAGGGATATTTCATTATGGTAAAATGGTCAATTCACCAGAAAGATAGAGCAATTTTAAATTTCAATAGATCTAATAAAATAGCTTCCAAAAATAGAAAGCAAAAACTGTCAGAAACTACAAAGAGAAATACACAGTTCCACAGTCATAGTTTGAGATTTAATCGACCTTTCTCAGTAAATAATTTTTTTAAAAGTGAGGATATAAAATATTTGAGGACTACCAATAACAAAACTGACCTACACTGCACACAATAACTGCAGAATCTACATTATTTTCAGGTGCATCCAGAATATTGACCAAAATTGATCATACTCTAAACTGTAAGGCAAATTTCAATAAATCAAAAGAATGAAATAATACAGGATAGGTTCTCTGATAACAGTACAATTAAGTTAATAAGATAACTAGGAAATCATCAACTGTTTAGAAATTAACAATTATACTTTAAATATCTATGTGTCAAGAAGAAACAGCAAGGGGAGTTAAAAAACATTTTGAAGTGAATGATATGAATATACTACCAATGTAAATTTGTAAAATGCAGAAAAATTAGGCAATTGCAAAGATTAAAATAATGTATCTACAACCCATTAACAGAAAACATTCAGTACATTTCTCTTCAATATTTCTCCCAAAAAAGAATGTATACAGTTTCAGTTTACTTTCAACTTAAGAGCCTAAAAATTACCCCCTTGTTCTTAAATGTTTATAAACTTTATTTTAATGACTGTAAAAATCTTCAATTTGTATTTCACTTTCTGTACAACATTTGAGGACAGTTTCTAGTTTTACAGTCTCATTCCCCAAAGAGTGCCTAGGACTAAAATAATTGCACATGTTAATTGAAAAAGTAAATTTAGATCTAGAAGGTTTTTAATAAGTGGTGCACAGATGCATTACAACTGATATATTAGAAATAAATATTTTCTTCACATGCTTTTCCTTCATCTGACTGTTCCTGGTAAGTATTCAAGTGTTCCTACCTCTTAATAAGAGTATGACAGCCTACAGGGATATAAACTTTCTTTTTTTCTCAATTAAATAAACCATTTAATAAACAAATACATAAAATGTTGTAGCATTAATTCAGATTGCTAAAAGAACTTCCTTTTCTAAAATATCACACAGAATAAATGCAGCTTAGTCACTTACCACTTGATCGGTTTTTACGACTTGATTTCCCTCCAGTAAGAAGCATCTTGAGACTATTCCGAAACATGGTTGTGCTATTCTAGTACTCACAAAACTGCAAAAGAAAATGTGAGAAAATATGTTAGAAAACTTGATTTTCTATTAAAAGTACTAAGAATTAATTTTAAATGCATTATGTATAAGAAATTGTTTTTAAAAATACAGTACAAAAATTTTAACTATATGACAAAAACATTTAATTAATTAACTTAAGTAAACATTTAAATATTTCCTTACTTTGAGTACCCTAAGAGATAAAGGTAGATGTCACTGAGGGCACCCAGAAAAAGAAAACAGAATTAGGTAGCTATAAATACATTCTACCTTTTCATTTGACTCTCTATTTCTTGGACAATTGTCTCATATGCCCAACACACAACCAAAGTTTAAGAGTCTAGAAACTTATAGCAGCTGCATATTCTCCATTGATCAAGCCAGAATTCCACCTCATAAGACTACTTACTGATATACACAAATCAGTGCCTTTCCTCTTTATGTCCTACTCTTATCAAAGAAAAATCCTTTCGGTTGTGCTTTAGATTATGTCCTCTCTCACCTTCTCAAGGACTTTTATCCAAAAATCTTCTCCCTTTTCTCTCTCATACAACTTTAACTTTTTTCTCGCTACTGAATCATTCCAATCATAACATAAACATGTTAGTATGTCTTAACCAAAATCAAATAAGCAAGCCTCTCTCTTTATTCCCACATGAACTAATTACCGCTACTATATCCTTGCTCTTCACAGAAAATTTCCCAAAGTGTTGTCAGTACTTGGTGCCTCCAGCAGATTGAAATGAACAAAGGTGAACTAGAACAGAGGTTTACAGAAAATATCCAACAAAAGCACAGAGATAAGGTTGTTGAATGGCAGAAAACAATGGGATGACTTCTTAAAAATTCTAAAAGAAAATAGATGCCAATCAAGAAATCTATTCACAGTTAAAAATACGTTTGAAAAATGAAATAAAGGTAATTTCAGAAAAAAGAGAATTTATCAGTAAAACAAATATGAAAAATCCTACAGAAGGAAAATGATACTAGAAAAAAAAACATAGAAATGCAAAAAGAGCCACAGAAATGGTAAATATGTTGGTACATATGAATAAACTATATTAAATATTACTAGCTTGTTAAGTTTAAAATATATGTAGATTTTAAAATGCATGGTAACAATAATCAAAAAGGCATCAGTGGGGTAAATGGAGTTAAAGTTTCTAAGATAGCTGCACTGTGCAGAATGGACTGACAGATATAATAATTTACATTTGACTGGAATAACTCAAAATTCATGTAGTAATTTCTATAACAGCCATTAAAAGCTAAATGAGGTGAGAAAAAGAATAATTAAAATATTTGACTGAACCAAAGAAGGTGATAAGTGAGAGAAAAAGTACAGCACATATGGCTAAACTATAAAACAACTAGTAAGATATGTTTTAAACTCAAATTATATCTGTTATTATGTCAAATACTCCACTAAAAGACTATTTACACAGAAAGAAAGACTGAATATGAAATGATCGGAAAAGACACACCATTCAAAAACCAATTAAAGGAAGCTGGAATAGATATGTCAATATCAGACAAAGCAGATTTAAGACAATAAGCATTGCTAGAGATAAAGACATTTCATAATAATGAAAAAGTCCTACCAACAAGATATCATAATTCTAAATCTGAATGGACCCAATTACAAAGCTTAAAATTATATAAAACAAAAATATACAAGACTAATAGATGATGCAGACAAATCCATAATCACATGGGACAGTAACACACCACTGTCAATAGCTACAAGATAAGCAGACAAAAAAATTTACTAAGGTATATAAAATTTGAAATACACAATTGATAAACTAAACCTAATAAATATACATAGCACTCTCTTCCGCATAAAAACAGAACACACAAACTATACACAAAACACATACCAAATAGACGATGTGCTGGGTCATAAAACAAGTCTCAACAAATTTCAAACACCTTAGTCTTTGAGAGTAACTCTCTGACTGACTACAATGCAATTCAACTAGAAGGGAATAATTTTTAAAAATCGAGAAAATCTGCTACTGATTGAAAATTAGGTGATATGCTTCAAAAAAAACCATGAGTCAAAAAGAGTAAATAAATCACAACGGAAATTTTAAAGTATTTGCAATGAATAATAATGAAAACATGCCTATGGAAACATAGGATGGAACTAAAGCAATGTTCGTAAATAAATGTATGCCTTAAATGCATGTATTAGAAGAGAAGGATAAAAATCAATATGTAAGCTTCTCTCTCAAAAGTTTAAAAACAAAGAGCAAATCAAACCAAATTAGAAGGAAACAAAGAGTAAAGAGTAGAAATGAATGAAATAAAAAACAAGTCCAAAATAAATAAAATCAACAAAGCCATACACTGTATTTCTGAAAAGTAGTAAAACTGATAAATCCCTAGCAAGGTTGATCAAGGAAAAAAGAGAGAAATTACCAATATCAGGAATAAAATAAGGGATATCATTTCAGATAGGAAAGGCTTTTTAAAAATATGAAGATATTATGAACAACTTTACACTAAATTTAATGTTATATGAAACAAATTCTTTGAAAAATATAATTTACCAAAACTATCAAAAAATTTATCAAAATTCTTCCCACAAAGAAAACTACAAAGCCAGGTTATTTCACTGGTGAAGAATATCAAACATTTAAAGAACAAATAACACCAATCTTTAAAAAAATCTTTAAGAAAATAGAAGCAATGCTTCCCAACACATATATGAGGACAGCATGATCTTAATCCCAAAACCTAAGAGATTACAAGGGAAAAAAATTTCAAACCACATTATCTCATGAACACAAGCCTCAAAAATCCTTAACAAAAGATACTAAAAACTGCAAAAAGTTACTGCAAAGAACTTTAAAGATGATCTAAATAAATGGAGAGATACCTTGTTCATAGATTGGAAGGTTCAAAATTGTTAAAATGTCAATTCTCCCTTTATTGTTCTAAAGAGACAATACAATCTCAATCAAATTCCAGACGGCATTTTTTTGTAGAAATTGAGAAGCTGATTCTAAAATGCATAGGATAATGCAAAAAGCCCAGAACATCCAAAACAGTCTTGGAAACACAAAAAAAAAAAACTGGAGCACTTATACCTGAATTCAAGACCTACTCTAAAGCTCCAGTAATGACAGTATGGTACCGGCAAAAGTATTCAAGTATTTCAATGGAACAGAATAGGAAGTCCCAAAATAGACCTACATTTATATCGTCATTTGTTTTCAACAAAGTCATTAACAGATAAAAGAAATTCTTTTCAACAAATGCTGGTGGAACAAGTAGATATTCATTTTTTTAAAACAATTATCCCATACATGAAAATTCAAAATACATCAAGCATCACATAAATGCTAAAATCATAACTCTTTTAGAAGAAAATGTAGGAGAATGTCTTCTTTATTTAGAGGTAGACAAAGGGTTCTTAGAACACAGAAAGTAATAACCATAAAAGAAAAAGCTGATGTATTTGGGCTTCATTAAAAAAAATTTTTTAATCTTCTCATAAAAAATAACGTTAAGAAATGAACAGGCTAGTCACAAATTGGGAGAAATCATTAGCAAAGCATATATCTAATACAGAACTGATATCCAAGGTATACAGAACATCTACAACTCAATACTAGACATTTTTAAATGAGTAAAAGATTTGAATAGACATTTTTAAAAAGAAGATATATGAATGGCCAATACACATATTAAAAGGGCTCAATACTATTTGTCATTCGGGAAATACAAATTACCATGAGCTACCACTATACTTCTACCAGAAGAGCTAACTTTTAAAAGCCTAACAATATCAGGCCGGCCGAGTGGCGCGATGGTTAAGAGCTGGCTTGGGATGCCAGAGGGCCCTGGTTCGGATCCCACATATGAGGGCCAGTGACACTGCCCCTTCCCCTAATTCCCCAGCACTGTTCCCATCCCCCAATTCCCCAATAAAAAATCTTAAAAAAAAAAAAAAAGCCTAACAATATCAAATATTGACCAGGATGGAAAGCAAATGAAACTCATAATACATTGTTTTAGGAGTATAATGGTACAATTGCTTTGGAGAGAAGCCTAGCTGTTTATTATAAAACTAAACATACATCTAATGTATGACACCATCCCTTACATAGTATTTACCCAGGAGGAGAAATTAAAACATATGTGTGAAAAATGACTAATACAGCAATTTTCATAGCAGCTTTATTCATAATAGTAAAAAACTACCCCAGGTGTCCATCAATAGGAAAATGTATAAATTGAGATTTTTATAAAGGGGAATATTACTCAATAAAAAGGTATGAATATTCATATAGGCAACAAAATAGATAAATCTCAAAATATAATATGCTGAATGATAAAACACTACATAAAAGTATATGCAGTAATGTATGGTATGGTAAAATCAGAATGTTTGTCTCTCAAGGGTAGGTGTGAGGATTAACTGAGAAAAGGCAAGAGGAAACTTTCCAGGATGATGACAATATTCTGTATCTTGAGGGAGCTTGGGATACACAGATGCACGCACTTGTCAAAACTTAGCAACTGTTCACATCAGATTTATGCATCACATTGCACGTAAATTTTACCTCAAAAGAATAATGTTAACAAATACTGAACTATGCTTAATGATATTAAAGCTTACATATTTAGAGGAAGGCATGCTGATGTCTCCAATTACTTTTTGAAATGCATCAAAAAATGATTTCAAAAGGGTTGCATTTCAATGGAACAGAGTATGTAGTCCAAAAATAGACCTACACTTATATCATTTGTTTTCAACAAAGTCATTAATGGATAAGGGAATGAGAAGACAGATAGGTAATAAAGCATTTATAGCAAAATGTTAGCAGTAGGTTCTAAGTGGTGGGTATACATGTGTCAACTGCAAAATTATGTTAAATTTTATGTATGTTTGAAATTTTTTATGTAAGGTAAAAACACACTCCCACAAAGGAAACACCAGGCCCACATAATTTCAACAATGCATTGTACCAGCATTTAGGGAAGAAATAA